AACAACAACAACAACATGATCAACAACAACAACAACAACAACAACAACAACAACAACAACAACAACAACAACAACAACAACAACAACAACAACAACAACAACAACATGATCAACAACAACAACAACAACAACATGATAATCAACAACAACAAACAACATCATCATCATCATCATAATCATCTCTCTCTATCTCACTCTCTCTCGGTAGGTTTTGCACCTAATATTTTTCTTGGCTCCTGAGGCATATTGGACGGAATCCGACATTTGTCTAATATTTTGCGACCTATTATCATTAAAAAAGTTTCATTGAAATAGGTGAACCCGCGACCGTGGCCCCCTTTGTTTGCAAAACTTCTACGACCCATCCAATGAGTTTCCCATGCTGAGATTCATCCAATAAAGCTTAGTGTACAACTTCTAAAAAAAACTACAGATGCATATATATACAATATCATATCTCGTAGCGTATCAAAGCTGAAATATTTAGACTCCTCCATCTTAAGTTCAAAACTGGAAAGTGATCAATAACCTTAAGGACTGTGCACTTTTGTGGGTGTGAATATAATGATGAGTCAATTCGTATCTTTCGTACATCAAATCGTATTTTCCCACCAACGTTTACCTATTTTTACCAAAAAAAGTTTCATTGAACTCGGTGACCCCACGTCTGTCAACTTGTTCCATTTTGGATCCATCTATGCACCATAATACAGTTAATAATATTTAATAAAATAATAAACATTTTATGTATAGAGAAAAGTGGGCCAACGCGAGTGACGATATGCACATATTCACCGGACGAAACTGGCGAAATAAACAACTTCTGTCCTACTGAAACCGCCCAAAACTTAGATCTTTAAACAAAATAATAATCAATTTGAAATGCATAGCCAATTTGTTGCCTATTATGAAAGGAATTTAGATCATTTTTAATCACTATTCCATTAGAAAATTGTTATTTCTTTGTACAATAACGTAAACCCGACGATTGGTCGTTATTACTTGATTAAGTAATCAAGACAGGAATGAGCTGGCATTTAAGTTTCCATGACTACCTCACCCTGATATATTCTCTGTTATTCAAGGTCAAAAATTATTCATACCATTTGTGTTATGCGGGCAATTTGTCGCTGGTCGACGACTTTTATAAGCGCGGCTTTTATTTATTTTTCCCCGTCCCTGTCTCGGGATCTTTTTGAAAAAAAAAAAAATCAAAACCTATAATGTCCTTTAACTACGTGTGATTCCTGCAGTCGGAGGATTATTAGAAAAATCAACAATTCCCGTCCTTGACTTAACCAGTTTGATTCAGGCTTTTTCGGAATGAAGCGATTTTTGGGCCCCAGCCAAACGAGTCATCATCAATTTTCTAATTTGCTTCTAATAGCTTCTTTTTGCCATTTTTGAGATGTGAAATATGGCTTACAAAAAAAAGGTTACCGATAAAACCGAAAGAATCCAATAAAAATAATGTAAATAATTTTTATGCTTGCGATATTGCTTCTTTTGTTATGTAAATTATTTATTTAAAATTTGTCTCATCACCAATAAAATCAATACCATAAAATCTTTGTTGCAAAGACAACAAACTCTTCAAATTAACATTTTTGGTTAATTCTAAATTCAGTATATTTAAGAAAAAATATAAATAAAAATATAAGCATTCCTTAAATTGAGATAAAATTAAATTTATTGTGTCTAAATAAATGAATTTTGGAAAATATTTCGTTTTTTTTTCAAGCAAAACCTATCATAAATAAAGTAAAGAGTAAAGGACTTTTTAGTTTAGTTTATCAATATGTCTAATTATAAATCATGTCAAATATAAAAATAAACACTGGAAAAAAAAACAATAAAGTTTTATATGCATTATTGACCATTCCTGAATAAAATCAAAACGAAGGATCCATATTTTAGCCCATTTAAATCAATATATCATTTCTCTGGAAAATAAATAGAAATCGTACTTGCATAATTTCAACATTAATGAGGGCAACAATTATTTCTGAGAACACTAGACCTTTTATACCTACAAGATATTAAGTAACGTTGGATGTTGAGAACGGTTGAACAGTTTATACATATCATCATTCATATCATCATGGATCGACTTTTCTCAATTCTGTTGAGACAAGAATCTATCTTGGCAGTATCAAATATCAAAGCAATTCCATCAATGTTCCCATGTTTACTCATGGATGTTGAGACCGATGAGGATCTTTAAGATCCGGACTTATCACCGAGGGGACTTCTCAGACGCCCAGTGTTCTCAAGGAGAACACCAGGAAAATTTTACATGCATGGACTTCTCACATTCCTTGGCTAGCGAGGTGGTGCAATGCTAAACAAGTTCAGTAGTTCCCTGAAAAGAGCACATGTGCCTTGAAAAAGGCAGTTTTGCGGATTCTGGCACAGCCTTTCAGCTGTGCCTTTCACCACCCCCGCAGAGATACAGAAGGCTCCGGTTAGCCGGTACCCTCCATCTAAGGTACAATTTGCTTGTAAACCACTACCACCACAATTCCAACCTCAATTAGTAGAGTCGCTTGGGTACTCAACTCCCGTGGTTCAGTATTATTTTTAAGGTGGAACTGATCGCCCACCCGGTGATTCATACGAACACCCTACTGATGCACCCGTTGCCTGAGGTGTGCGAGTACAGTAATCCAGGAAGCCTCTGCCAAAGCAGAGGAGTGAGGAGAAGGAAAAGAAAAAGGCCAAGAAAGGATAGGAAAGGTAAGGGGAAATTTTGTCTCCATCATTAGCTACCCCTAGGCACCGAGCTGATGGTAGGGCTTACCTAGGCCCGTAGGGAAGGTTACCCTATGGGATAGATTCACCAGGTCATTGTGTTCCCGAGTACTCATCGTCAACAAGACAAGAGGATCTTTAGCGTCCCACCTGGCCTTTGGCCTTATCAGACGTTTTGATTCTCAAGATGAGAGCTGACGCACTTCTGCATAAGACGGAATGGTGTTACCGTCGCAGCATTGGTGTAGACGTGTCCCAGCCCCTAAGGGCCGAGACAACCTTGCTTTCCGCTTGTCCACTCCGAATGGTCGGGCCCGCATTGTGCATCGGGTCGTATGCCGCACGCGAGGGGCTAACAGGCCGAAATACATTGCCCTGTCCTCCCCCCCGCGAACTCCCTAGATATAGAAGTCTACTCTATCTCTCTGAGCATAGAGGCTCCCCCAGCATAGAAACTTTCGGGAACGCCCCGCCAGGGGTTTAGTTTAAAGTGGAATTGCTTACCACACCCTAGATGAGCACCGCCTACGGTAAAGTCTCTTATCGAGCTCAGCCTACACCTGTCACGCGCATTCGAGGGACGCCATAGGCTCAGCCTAGGTGGTCCGATCCTTCGCTTCCCCAAGGGTACCACGCCGGTCATACGCACAACAATGCAAAGCAAACTCGTGTCAGAGACACCGATTCACTACCCGCTTCCATTCGCTTACTCACGCGTTCGAGGGACTATAGCATGATCATTGCATCCTCAACGCTTACACGCTGTCGTCCGGTCGCAACGTCTCCCGTGAGGCCGGGGGGGTTTTACGTTGGCCATACGCAAGCTTCACTAAGGTCACAGATAGAAGACAGCCTCTGTCTAACTTCCCGCCAGGGGCGTCACCACGCGCCACCACGAATCCAATCCCAGTGCAACTAGGGCTGAATTTGGAAAGTTTAGTTACCCCGTGGTACAGATGGCCATACACCCTCCCCCGTCTATGCAGACAGGATCTAGTGCACTGGCCCTCGTGTGACTCTGCTAAGGCACCCGCCGCCCATGCCGACCCTAGGCCGACACGAGTACAGCTTGTGCTTCAGAGAGGTTGCTACGCCCTCTGGGCTGCACCTTTATTTTGTGCCCGGATACCCCCCTTGTAACCAAGGGTTAGGAAGGGTTACAGGATAGAATGAAGGAGCTCGGATTGAGAAAAAGGGCCGTGGATGAGAACACGAGGTGAGCCGTTTCGGGGTCTCGAGTCTCAAACCACACTATACCACCCGTAGTCGCCGTAGTTCCACATAAAGTGGGCCACGACTCCCAATGTGGGCGAGATTCACCAGGTCAGCAGTGATAACCAGTAAGGCGACTTTGTGTTGTCTGAAAACCGTTTAATATTTCCCTAGTTTGATTTTCTACAATAAACCTGTCCCACCAGTTCTTATTTTTTGCTATTTTAAGAAACATTTCTTCATTTAGCATTATTCAGTACTTCTGCCTAGGCGCGTTTTCGTATGTTTGTGTTGTTATTGATTATTTTTTGAAAGGTTTTAATCGTGTGATATGAGACCTGTTGACTTTTTTCTAACAGCTTTATCGAGCATTGATGTTTTTTATTTCGTTCGGGTCTTTTTGACCTCTTTTGTTTTTTACTTGTTTGGCAGGCTGTGCAACATTGTTATACTTGTGTAAAACGCACTTTTTTAATCATTTTAGCCTATTAGAATTTTGTTTCGTTTAGACGCATTTCGATATTGCATAATTTCTATTGGTTCAGTCAAAAAATATTTATGGCGGGGTGCATATCAGCAAAGAGTTGAAACTTTTATAACTGAGTTAGGTATTTACCAAGGAGGTCGTTTTGCTTGAGAGGGCAAATAGGCATAATTTTCGACATCCAATGAAAATATCCTCACGTTTTATCATGTGTTTTTCAAGGTCTTTTCAGTACAATCATCAGAGGCTAGTTTCCCAAGTCGTCAAAGTGATATAAATATATTTTGGCCGTGTAAATTGGACTTAACTGGATGTTTTGATTGAGAGGTCGCCCTAGTGAATTAGGGACAGGAGGCGACATCACGGCCAAGGCAATAAAAGTCCTTAATTCGTACACCCTCTTGTTTTTTCGGACGAAATATTGTGACAGCTCCTGAGACCGCTTTCAATAAATATCGTTATTAAAATAATACCGTCTAGGCCGCATCGGTTTTTTTTCGACGACCGTCTTCCCCTTCCGCGCTTATATATACTCGGCGGTGGGTTTGTCGCAGAAGACAGAACGCCAAGGATATCACGGATGTGAAGATGACGAAAAGGAATATTTCGCCAGGGAATAATTACACTTGTGCTTGAAATCCTTTAGGAGGAAAGATTTCAAGTAAGTTATAATTACATTATGTTTACGTTTTATTTGAAACTGTCTTAACGAGTGATTTTATGCTTTAGAAAAACGCTAGGTCTCATGAACCCGTAAAACATTTATAAAACTAGAAAAAGGCACCCTATTGCTTTTTTTAAACAACATTTTCAAAACGAAACTATCACATTGCTTAATTTTTAGTTTTAGAACTATTTAAATAATACGTTTTTCTGGTCGTTTTCAATCAGTTTGGTACACTTATCCTAGCCGGTTGACAAAAACTCTACATATTTATTATGTGTTTATATTGTTGCCTGTCGAACAACTATATGTGTTCGTGTAGTCACGACAAACTAGAACAGTGAGGATATGCAGTCAAAACGAATGTTTTTCAATTTTTATTGTAGTATAGATTCCGAAGCTTATTTCCACAACATTTTTTTGTAATATCATTCAGAGCATAATAAAAACAGTTACCAAAGTAAACGATAAATCACTCCATTAACCTTATTTTAAAAATATTTTATAGTGATAGCGAATTAATACTCTCAAAGACAAAAAACGGACACTATTTGTATTTATTTGTTTTATTTGCACAATAACTAGGTATAAAGATTATTCAGAAATCGTGAGATGCGGTCTGGTGTGATGTAGGTTTCAGAAAAACATTTTCTTTATCCTGCCAACGTTTCGATCTTTATTGAGATCATCTTCAGGGCTCAAAGTGTTTGTTTTCTGTGTAATTGTGCCATTCTTNGACAAACACTTTGAGCCCTGAAGATGATCTCAATAAAGATCGAAACGTTGGCACGATAAAGAAAATGTTTTTCTGAAACCTACATCACACCAGATCGCATCTCACGATTTCTGAATAATCATCGATTAACGGTCAGTAATCACCACACATTTCTACACGAGAAGATCGAAGAACATAGGTATAAAGAGTAGAGAGGTTGTTGGCCAACGTAACTGGTATAAACTATACTTTTATAGAGTGTTACTAATCCTTTTACACTCTTTAAATGAAAAATAAAATAATCAGTTCAATTTTGTTTTTAAAGTATTCTTTCCTTAAAGCATGATTTTAAGTCGAGAAGATCTCGCCGGGGTGGCTAGAAATTATCTTCCTGGCTGGCCAACTACGGATGTAGCTTCCGTTGCATAGCTGGGTGAGCCACGACTATCCACGATGATCTACCGCGTTTCGGGCCACCTGACGTCTTGTTCAAAGAGAACGTAGTGCTCGACCGCGATATACGACGGCTAGATCGTTTTATTGCTCTTACCTTACTACGGTACCGTCATTTAACGGCTTCCTTGATGGGTAACTCCAAACGGTCCGTAATGTAAGAGTGAGCTCTAAAACAGTCATAAGAAAGCTTCGGGAGAATAGCCTAGTCTCTAGACGTCCCGCATTAGGTCCTCTACTGCAGGAAAGGCATCGAGTGACTATTTGCAAATCAGCATCTACCTTGGAGGCTTGAACAACGGTGGGTGTGGTGTGTGGAGAAGAAGTTGAGAATGCTTTCCTACGTGTACCATGCGTGAGTCACAGTCTTTTCAAAGACAGTTTATAGTGTGGTGGAATGAACGTCTATGCCCGTACCGAACTGGCTATCATACAGAACTGAGTTGAAGTGAGGAAGTTCTTCTGAAAGCTGTCTTCCCATTCGACATAACTCGGGGAGACAACTAAAGTTAATGCATGATAATGCTCGACCGCATTGGTTTGAGTTGTCACCTTCGAGGATGAAGGGGTTTCCAGAATAAAATGGCAAGTACGTTCCCTTGCCATGAATCTGGTAGAACATTTATAGGACATGCAAAGAGACGAGTTCGCCGCCTCCAATAACGACGGGATTGGGTTCCACAAGAAGAAATACGGTCGCTTATTTATTCTCAGCCTAAGCCACTTAAGGCTTTCTGCGAGGCCTCAGGAAGTAAAAGGTGCTAATAGGTACAATAAATAATAAATTGTTTATTACTATTTGGAGATCGTGAGATGCGGTCTGGTGTGACGTAGGTTCAGAAAAACATTTTCTTTATCGTGCTACGTTTCGATCTTTCTTGAGATCATCTTCAGGGTCTGGGATTTATAAACATAGTTTAAATTATACAAATACATGTAAAATATAAAAACATGAATTTATACGTTGATAGACATTTTAGATTCAATGTATCTATATATGTAATGTGTATGAGTATTTGTACTCACTCAAATTGTTTGTTTTCTGTAAAGAATTGTTAGTTAAATTTTAATCAATCACTAAATGATTTTCCGATGTTTTGGTGATTTTGTTTCAAACCATCATAATTAAATTATTTTTTAATTATAACTCACGAGTTTCTGATCTGGTTGAAGTTGATTTACGTTAAAATATCTTTTAATCAAACTCCACGGTTCGTGGAAATTCTTATCCAATGGTTGAAAAATCCCAAGTTCTCAGTGGTTGAAATATTTTATTCAATTTTGTTCATTACTTGACGTTTCGGCTGTTCGTTCATCGTCAGTACCTGGGCTACGCCATAGATACATTTCCACCCATTTTGAGGGGGATGTCGTCAAAATGGTTTTAAAACTTCTGCCGCTATCCGCGTGAGCCTACACTTTTTAGATGGTTATTATTGGTTTTTTACCGATTTATCAAGCAGACCGGAAAACAGAGTTTCTGGTGTGGAAATCTAAAAAGTATATAAATATATATGTATCTATGGCCTAGTCCAGATTCTGATGATGGGCCGTAGGCCCGAAACGCATCTAATAGACAAACTTGAATAAAATATTTCAACAACCGAGAATTTGGGATTTTTCAACCTTTGGATAAAATATGCATGTTGTAATTAATGTAAATATAGAGTGTCGATTTTTTTCGTCTTTGAGTGTATAATAGTAAACCAAAGAATTCGCTTAATTTCAATGTGACATTAAGCTTTCAAAGATTAAAATCCATTAGCCAACTATCCAAATATTATTTTGTTATTGTAAACTGGAAACATTTCATATAGACAACAGACTAAATATATTCATGGGAAATATTGTAATACATATTGATTAAGTATATTATTTTATTCAACATTGATGAAGAGGATATTATGAATTTTTTTCAATTGTTATGCCAACAGTTATATCAAGATGTACTAGAATCTGTTTATTTTATAAACGTAGTAGTCATTTCCATCAAAGAACAAATGATTTTGGTCCGTCTGTCCACACTTTTTTATTGTGCTGGCAAATTTGATGAAACAATCGCCAGAATTACGTGCATTGAACCATATTCTGTTTTATGAAAATACTATTTTAATTATGTTTTTAAACTAAAATATCAAAATTTAGCATGAATGTGAATATTTTAGTAATTGTTCTATCAAAATTATTTGAAAATCTTATTTATAAACTTGGCTGTTCGTTCAAATTCAGTTAAACTATCTCCCCAACTACGTTCATTGTACCATGTAGAAACAAGAGAAAATGTGTAATTTTTAGTTATCTTAATAAAATCTGTTACGAAAAAGTACCAATTTTAACATTAAATTAAATTATAAACTTATTTGACCAATTCTAAGCCGGCCAATTTGTCAAAAGTAACGTAAGCCCCCACCCACGAGTTTGTCAATGCTATATAATGGTCCAGGCCATTACGTTTGCATGAGAGTCCATCCTTTGCGAGGATCAACAGGTGAGCCGGTTCATTTCATAAATATTCGACAAACTTGCAGTAATAAAAAAAAACATGTTTCTATGATTTTTTTTCAGCCTAGGTATTCTATTCCAACTTGATTCAATTTCAATTAATACTAATACTTAAAGCAACTCACGTTATGCATTTCTAAAGCATCTATACCATATTTATCCAGGTTTTAAATATAACACAATGCCTAATGATAATAACAGTTGGCAAATTATTTAGTCAAAGCCTTTTTGTTTGTACTAAACCTTTTATTGCTTTCTTCTTAGAATTAAATCATTTAACAAAATTATTTTTGTACGGCTTAAAACGTTTAACTAAACTATCGTTTTTATATGAAGTTTCATTTACTTGTTAACTTTGATGCCTGTATCTCTCTTTCTATCTTTCTTTCTCAATCTATTTAGACATATATTTTTATGTACATATGTATGACTATTTTCAAAACAAACACATTTAAATATAAATTAAAATTGCTTTGTTTCGATAAAACTTAAATATAACAACAAACGATTTAAACTTCTATTATTATATTATTTATTATTATATAATATTACTTATATTATATATTATTTTTGAACTTAGAAACGAACAATGAATAAATAAAATCTCGTAAATAAATACATTTTTGAAGGCAAGAAAAAATCATTTTTGACAACAAGGTGTGGAAAGTGTTATGAGATATATGTATAATTTTTTCGAACAAGACGTATGTTTGTTAGATATTTTTATTGCATTTATTTATTATTTACCGCTATAGTAATGTATTAAGTAAATATTTTGGATTTATGCTGATAGTGTCGTTTGAGTCATTTGTATGAGAAGTAACCCTGTGAAAACATTCCTTCACATTGAACCCTCGCTATTAGCTACTCACTGAGAATGGTCTCGGGGCCTCTTTCGCTTTCGTTTTGGAGGATTTTCTGTTAGGATTTGAAGTGAATAGATTATTGTGCGTATTTAGTGATTGATGAAATTGTTTATAGTGGGTTTTGATGAGTCTGGACAAACGCGATGTGTAGGTCTTTATGAATACTATGATTTGAATCACAAAACATTTATAATTTGACGGAGAAATTTAAACTGAATTGGTTGGAGACTTTGGAAGTTGGAATTCTTGGTTGAGCCACACATTTCACTACAGTCGTCCAAGAGATGTCTTGTAAATTAAAAGTTTTCAATTTAATTTTGATTGTGAGTGAAGTATTCTTTTTAATGATTTATAACGTCGATTTTTTTCTTGTCTTTTCAGTCTTGTGTGGGGATTCAAGGTGAGTCGATTATCCATAAAAAGTCCAAGATAACGCAGTCAGGTTCCCTTTATACTCACTT